TTTGAAAATCGAATAGCGTGAGATAATATGAATTATTTCATTTCGAAGTGTTCAAAATGAATTTTAATTGCGTAAGAGTCTAAACGAGCGAAACAACGATTAATGATTGAAATTTTAACAGTTTTTAGTACTTGTAATTCTTAATCTTTTAAAATATACCGACTCTACATGGAAAATTCTTTATATAATTGAAAAAGCTTCGAAATTTCGGTTCCATAAATGAATAAGTGACTCACTGAGCGTGAATTGAGAGAGATTCATCTACATTTTTCGAAATATATTACACAAACATGCATTCTTTTATTTGATTTCATAAAACATTATATCTCTTTCTACTAGTTGTCAATCATTTGAGAAGAATTCACTATTATTCTATTGAAGATACAAATTATTTTTATTTTGTAAAAAAAAAGAATTGTCACATAGTATTTTTAAAAAATTTTCTTTAAATGTTGTTTTTTGTTGGTGTACCGAAGAGAGTGTGTCGCATATCCCATTCTTCACTCGTAAGACATTCTCGTCGTGGAATAAATACATTCGGATCCCTGATGCCAACTGTTATATCATAAAATGATAAGTGTGAAGTGCCAAATTTTTGACTGAAACTTGTTCGAGAAACTGGAAGGCATCCTCGATAAGTCCATGTGGAAATATAATCAATTGTATCATTTGATGGTAATGTGAAATTGCCAGCCCTAGATATATACCAAAAATTTATTTAAGAAATAGTATTAAAGAAAACTTTACCAGATTGTAACTAATACACCTGTATCAGGAAAAATCGATGAGCCAATGTAAGCTTCACCATATGATGTATCAGTTGGACGAATACCAAAATCACGCCATGGTCGAGTTAATTCTCGACGTGTACAATTACGAGCTTTAAAATTATAAACAAATTCAATTTTTGAATCAAAAAGGGCGATCGTGTCAAAAAAATCTTCTTGACTAGCTTCATCGATTTCGTCAACAAGACGTTCACGATGATAAGTAGCATCATAACTTAATCTTCCTTCCAATGCGAATTTTTGTTGCTCGTTCATATCAAATATACGTGCTTCCCATTGTGGTGGAGTAGTACATGGAATCGGTCGTTGTGCGACTGCAATACCGACCAAACAAAGAATAAGAGCTACAAACATTGTTTTTTTTGTTGAAAATGAAACAGTAAAAGAAAAAAAGGTGTGTTGTAGATTTTGAAAAATGACTCGTCTATATATATATAATGCTGTGAGAAGAATATAGTCAACTTTGTTGTCACTAACCTTGACTCAACAAATAAAAAGCAGAACATCAGTGCATGTTCTGTTATCAGTAAAGTCCAACCTACCATAGAACATCTGGAGTGACTAAAAAAAGAATAAATGAAATAATATTGTGTCAAGTAGTTCCTTTTTTGTCAAACTTGGACGATGGGCAAAAAAATTATCATAGAAATTCTAAGATTGATACTACTAAATGATGTGAACTGTCTCATTCAGGAATACATGCAATGAATTCATCCAGGACGAAAAGCGTGAATGAATAATTGACTTTTGAGATCTTAGCATTTCTCTTCTTTATTATTCGTATTTTCTGATGTCATATACAAAGTCGGCATGAAAAATATTTCAATTCACAAAATAAAACTTTAAAATTTTTATTATATAACTGAATAAATAGATCATTAGGTGAACAATTAAAATATCTTTGTTTATATTCATGAAGAATACACAAGTAAAAAGTTTGTCGATTTCTTTTATAAGATGAGCAGTAAGATGCTTTGTTCTTTTACAGTCATTACTTTGCAACGAAAAAAAAAGAGTTATTTATATTATGGACAAAATAAAATAATTTATTTGTAAATGAAAAAAAAAATTCAATATAACTTAAAATTAAATGAATGTTTTCGAGATATCGGTTTTGTTCGTATGCTGTGGAGTATTGTATGCCTCAGTTTTTGCTCATAGACATTCTCATAATGGAATAAATGAATTAAAGTCACTAATATTAACTGTAATGCCATATTTTCCAATAAAATTTGTTGGAGACGCTGAAAGACAATTTCGACATGTCCATATTGAAACATATTTAATGATATCAAAGGATAATAGCGCAAAGTCATCAATCTTAAAAATACAATAAATATTAACTTAAAAAAGAATTTAAAAAAAAAATACTTGCCAAACTGTAATTAAAATAAGTCGTAATCAGGTAAAACAGATTAACTGAAGTAAGCTTCACTATACGAACGATTCGTTCGATGAGTACCAAAGCCACTCCATAGTCGATTCATTTTCTTAACATATCGAATTGTATACTCATAAATTATACATAAATTCAATTCTATTATAGGATGATGAAATCAAATGAAAAATCTTTCTAAAGTTCTTTCTACAAAATTTTCAAGACGAAATTCACGATAAAAAACAGTATCATAATTTATTCTTTTTTGTCATATAAATTTTTATTTTTCATGAACATTGATGATATATTCTTCCTATTGAGGTAATGTTGAACAAAACAGGTGGTTTTTGTTCTACCACAATAGTAATCAAACAGAAAAAGAGAGCCGCAAGCATTTTCTTTGGTTGTTGCGAAAGAGATAGATAAATGTCAAAAAAATACTTTGGTGGAGATAGTAAAAAGTATCTTTTCTATATAGAGATCAAGAACTTGCAGACCGTTACTTCAGTACGTATTTTCTCACCTTGAGATGCAAAAAATAAATATAGAGCAAATCTATTGCACAAACTATTGTTATCAAGACAGTGTTAAGATGCGTTACTGAAGTGCTTTTAAGAACGAGCAAATAAGGTAAAAATTATACTGGGTAACCATTTATTTACAAAGATTGTGAAAATAGAAATAGAACGAACCAAACTAAAACCAAAATATAAGGATGATATAATCAAAAATTTTTTATCTTCTTCTATTTGCTAACAAAGAATCATCTCGAAGATTTTCATGCATTGTGCTGACCTTTGTTGTGTATACTCTCAATTCACGTTTAAGCAATTTTCTTTGAGCAAGAATTACAGAAAAAGAAGAACGTAATGTACACTACATTCATCGATTCTGTCTGTATCAAAATAGTTTAATAGTAATTCACATAGTACATATACTCGCAGAATTCAATATTATTCCTATGAACATCGTGCAATAAGATTTTAATTGATATTATTAAATAAAATAGAATTAATTAATTATAATGCTAGCAATACGAACTCATTTAGCATTGTTCTAGTTTTATTCAAAAAGAAAACTTGTAAACTTTCGATGCGTTTAACACATCATTTGCAAACACAAAAGGAAAACAGTTGGAATTTTATATGAATGCTTTTTCCTCCTATAGTAATGTTGACAAGCATCGCAATGTAAGAGGGAGAATTGTATATTGTTATCGCAATAGCAGGATTTGCTAACATTACTATAGGAACAAAATAATGCTTATGCACAGTTTTTACTTTTTTGTCTTTTGTGTTTGACAATAGTATGTTAATTATATTGAAAGCTTACACTTCTTTTTTTAAATACAAGTAGAAAAGTGATAAACGAACTGACATTACTAACATTATTGATAAGATTTAAAGTTTTCTGTCCATAATCTACTATTAACTGTATTTGTTTGCACACATCTTTTTGAAATTAGATTTGAATTCGAAATAACTTTCAAACAAGCCTCTACTTGTGAATAATTGACCATCATCTTTCAAAATTTCATATAAGAAAAAAAAGATAACTTATAAATGAATGACACTTTTCTTTTATTTCATTGATTAAAAACTAGGTTTACATTAAAAAATTCATTTAAAAAAAGAGTTATCTATTTCTTCATCTTTTTTCCTTGTGTACCAAAAAGGACGTGTCGCATAGCATATTCCTTTTCTGTAAGACATTCTGGTCGTGGAATAAATACATTTGGATCACTAATACCAGCAACAATATCAAAGAATGATGTTTGAGAACGACCAAATTGAGTACTATGTCTGATGAAATTAACTGGAAGACATGCTTGGTATGTCCATGTTCCAAAGGTACGAACAGTCTCATTGGATGGTGTTGTATGATTTCCACCCCTATTTATGAAATCGATATTAACTTGATACAATAATAAAGAAAGGAATACTCACCATAAGGTAACTAATAAACCTAAGCCAGGTGCAGCTGATGAACCAATATAAGCTTCTCCGAATGAACGATCATCTGGTCGAATACCAAAATCACGCCATGGTCGAGTAATTGGACGACGTGTACAATTACGAGCTTTGAAATCATAAATAAATTCGATTTGTAAATCAAACAATGCAATAACATCAAAGAAACTATCTTCTTTGCCGACTTCAACTTCTTCAACAATACGTTCACGATGATAAGTAGCATCATAACTTAATCGTCCGCGTGCCATAAATTTGTTTTGTTCATTAGAATCGAAAACATTGGCTTCCCATTGTGGTGGTGTTATACATGGTTTTGGTGGTTGTGCTACAGTAAAACCAACCAAACAAAGAAGAAGGATGGCGAACATTTGTCTTTGTATACAAATTACAAAAAGTTGAAAAAAAAAGTTAAATTGATTGTTTATGAAACAATGTGTCTTTATATAAGACACTGAATAGATAAGAATTCACTATCATAGCCTTGAAATAAAGAAAAATAAATAGAGGAACAATTCATCTGCAGTTATCAACACTGTTGGAGGGTGCGTGCTTGCTTATAGAACAAAGTAAATAGAACAATATTGTGGTGTTAAGCAAATATATATGGGGTTGAGCAGTCTTGTCGGATGTCCCAACTTTTTGTTATCATTTAACTTCTGTAATACATCAGAATGATATGACTTTTTTTACCAGTTATAGTACTTATGAAGTGCTAATTATTTATCATAGTCCGGTATATATGTCTCTCCAGAAACCGAAATAATCAAACGTTTTCGCTTTGGGTGAAATACACTTTCTCACTTATCGACTACATAAATTTTCAAGCAGAGGATGTGGGATGTGGGTGTGAATGGGTGTTGGTGTAACCGAAGGCAATACCCACACCCACACACACTCACACACACCCACACCCACACCCACACGCATCCACCCACACCCTCATATATATATTGCTATAACGATAAGACGACAATGATACCTTCTTTTAACATTAACCTAATATATGATTGTGCAAAAATTCGTCATTTTTTTTCATAATAAATGAAAGATTCCCGCTAATCATTATTATTTATTATTTGTTGTATGTATCATGGTAGAAATTGAATCATGGTTAGATTCTAATTCATGGAAAATAAATAAACGAGATTTAAAAAAATTTTCAAAATATGAAAACATTGTTGAACGACAACAAAATCGATTAGATGAAAATGAAATAAAAAATATTGTCTCAAAATGTATTCTAAATGAACTTGGTGAAAAAGTTTATAATCTCGATTTAAGTATACAACTATCGAAAAATATTTCAAAAAATATTCGTAAAGAACTTTCTGATAAATATAAATTTTATAAAATTATTATTCAAACATTTGTTGGTAAAATGTCAAATGAAAAAATTCAAAATTTAGATTCTCATAGTTATAAATTATATGCTTCATATTGTTTTGATCAAAGAACTGATAAATGTCTTTCGATGATTCAAAATAATGGACAAGTGTAAGCAATAAAAATAAACACGAATTGGAAATCTTTTTTTTTTCTTTAAATTAACCTTAGAACTGTAAATGAAGTTAGTTGAATTAAGAAAAAAACATCATATGTAATACTAATCAAACAATTAACCAGTACATGATTATACAGAAAGATTCTTTATATAGCCGTGATGCAAAAATCTTCTTTGTCGAATTCAAACCTATGCTTTACATCCGACTCTAAAATTATATCAAGAGAAAATTTTCGAGAGATTTTAAGATTTATGTCGATTAGATTTGAACAAACTCATCAACGTTTTAAGGCAGGTTTCCAGAATACAAGGTGTCGACTATTCGAAATTTGAGTAAAATTCTTTTTGTCATGATTTGATAGATCTCGCTGTAATACGTATAAAAATTTTGTTTTTGTAGGCACACTAAGCGAAATTAGATTTAAAAAAGTCATAGAAGCCTGTAAAGATTAAAATACTCTAAAGGCATCAATTCTTATCAGACTCAATATTTATCTGCATG